TTCATCCCATATTATTAATTTCGCAGAGATTAATTCTCTTGCTTCCTGCGTGTTTCCTCTGATATTTGATTTTGTTATCTCATCTATTGGTATTGTTAGTTTGAACAGACTATGATATGTTCTTCCTCCCTTTAAAAGTGTTGCTGCTATGCCTGTTGACGCACATGGTAAAACCACCTTTTTTCTTCCTCTACGTACACTTAATAATGTATTAAAGGTATGTTTTTCCACTTTCTGTAAATCCGTCTATAAAAAATAACCTTTTGACTTCATTCTCATTTTCAATTGCTCGCATTACTAAATCGTACACGTGCTTTTACTCTGCATTTAATGTCAACAATAAATCTTCTCCTCTACTTTTTTCCTCATCTAAATCATATTCTATTTTAATGATTTTCACTGGCTTTGGTTTTGACAATTTGAAGTTTACACAGCTAGTTCCATTATTTCTCATAATTTCATCGATACAATTCATAGCTATATTTTCTGGATTATCCATATTTCTGTGTACATAATCTTCAATCATGGCGTCTTTATATTTATTCCAAAGTGTTGGTACATCTGTAGGTGTTCCATATATGCAAATATAAGCAAATAGCTCTCTAATTTGTGCAGGCATTTGACTCTCTTTCACTTCTTCTAGCGTTTTGTCCCATTGATCATCTGATTCTATCAAATTCCTTGTTTTTGCCGCATCCTTGAACGTCTCATAAAGAACTCCGTTGACAGTTCTCAAATCCTCGTAACATTTAGCTCCCCTAACATGTAGGAGAAGCAGTCGTAGATAATATCTTTCATTATCTTTTATGCTTACTGTATATAATCTGGAAATGATCTTTTCTGTTCCTTTTTGACGTAGTTTCCATTTTGTTTCTTTCTTTTCATACACATATTGTGACGCAACCTCTGCGTATAATAAATGTCTTGCTCTTTCATCATCTTGATTCAATTTAAACCATGCAGTAAGTGTAGTGTCTCTTTTCTGCGCACTTATTGCTGCTTGCTCTTGATTTCCCTCTTTGAAATATATCATTTGACGATTAGGCAAATGAACTGCCAGTCTTATTACTGTATGAGACTTCATAAACATTTCATATCCGTTCAGTCTCCACATTGCTTCTGGTGTACTAACATATCTTGCATCCATGAATGATTTTACCTCATCTATTTTAATTAGTCTCGTTCCGTCTCTTGTTTGCACCTCAATTGCAGCACAATCAAATCCTTTATGAATGTACTTGTGTAAGTATTTAACATTCTTTACTGATGAACATATTTCCAAATTCATGTGCCGATCATATTTCATTAATAAATATGGCGAATAGGACACTACCCATCGATTATCAATTTCTTTTCCTCTTACCCTGTATTTTTTCCCTATATTCCTTCTTTGATACATGGGATATCCATTCTCATTTGCTTTTGTTTCCTCTCTAAATTCTTTTGGATAGCCTCTTGTACACTTTCCATCTTCCCCTATGCAAGGATATCTTCTCGATCTGTCGCTACATGGTTCGTGAATCATATGCCTTAAAACCATTGCATTAAGCTCTGGATACCTTTCTTCATCAGGGATTTCAGCCCATACCATCTTATCTACAATTTCTTCATGCCTTGGCTTTTCTTCATCACCTAACATTGCAAGTAAATGCAAATGTGGTAATCCTCTTTTTTGGAACTCAATTACACCTACATAAGCTATGATTTTTCCAAAAATTTCCTTTTGCATTAGATCTCTCATCAGTTCTTTTACATCCAAGTTAAAGGTTTTCGCTACTAAATCTGGACGATATTCTACTGACATCCATCAAGATTTTCCTTAATTGACGGAGACTGTGGATTTGCATGTCACTGTTAAAAAGATATCTGGTTTCCCAAACTTTCTTACCATAGACATTGCATCTTGATATCTTTCTTGCATATTCCTTGGACTTCCCATAAATGATGATGGTAATATTACTGGTATACCAGCTTTAATTCCTTCATTTTGTTCTCGATTATCTAAATGATCCATTAATCCTGAATACAGTTCTGCTCTTATCTTCGGTTGATTTAATTTAATATAATTAAGTCTGTTAGCCTCAGTTTTCATATAGGCATCTAATATGAATTGACACTTCAACTTGCCTGCCATTTTAAATTGACTAAATTCTTTTCTAGGTGCCAGCAAGTAAGCATAATAATTCATCTGAGAAATTTTATATCCTTGATATAGAGGATTATTTGATTTCATTTCAGAATGCCATCCATTGTTACCATATGGATATAATAAAGGATAACACATTGGGTCACACTTTTTATCCAGAATTGATATTTGTTGGACATCATTCGAATTTTTGTTATTATATCCTAATGGATAGTCTCTCTCAAATGGAGGCTCACCATCAACATTATTAAAGACCACGGCTATTTCATTTGCACATGGGGCATTATACCTTCTTTTATCCTGTTTCGGATCTTTTCTGAACGACAACATCAAATTTGGTGCTTGAGTACCCTGAGGATTTAAATCTATTTCTATCTGACGCATCATCTTAAATGTTGTAGCTAATGAATTGTCATGCTTCATGAGAATTGTCAACTCTCTCATCAAACTTGCATCACAGTCTTTATTTGCTTCCTTTTTTAATC